AATCAGCTGATTAAATTATGACAAGCGTGTCTCGTTTTCGTCACTTTATTCATTGATCAACTGCTGATCCTGTCCCATACAATAATCATACGTAACAAGAGAAAATTGCCAAGCAAGTTGATTTTTTCAGGAGCGTTGAAAAAAATTTCTGCGCATGCGTAGAAACGGAAATTTTAAGCCTTTCCAGGTGAATGACTTAGTGTCGGTCCACAATAGATAATTTAAGCTTTAAGAAGTAAGAAATTGATCAATTATAATCGAATATGAAAAGAATAATTGACTATGATTGGTCAATTTCTTATGGTTTAAAGATTAAATACTTATTGTGGATCGACACTTACAAAATACGACCGTTGAATACTCGCTATTATTGGGCGAGTTCAAGCTGCTTTGTCAGCTTGAATTCGTCCATTGGTTATGTTCATCATAAAAAGCAGCTTTGCAATTTTAAATGCGTGTAAATTTTTTTAATATGACTGATTTATACATTTATTTTGGCTTTAGGCGAGATTTAAATGTGTATCTGTCTTTATCTTCTTTTCTAAGTAAATAAAGACAGACACATATTTAAGTTCAAAACCAAAATAATGTTAATGCAATCGGATCTAAGAGCAAGAACCAATCATGTTATAAAATTTTATACACTTGTAAAGCTGCTTTTTTTTGCAGCTATTGGTAGGTTCTTTTAGTGTCAGTCCATAATAAATATTTAATCTTTAAATCGTAAGAAATTGACCAATCATAATCGATTATTCTTTTCATATTTGATTATAATTGATCAATTTCTTACTTCTTAAAACTTAAATCATCTATTGTGGACCGACACTTAAGCAGCGTTTACAATGAGATTTTAAGGCGTAAGATTTAAGAAATTGGCTAATCATAATCGATTTATAGAAGAATAATCGATTGTGATTGGCCAATTTCTTAAGCTTACGTCTTAAAGTCTCATTGTCAGCACCGCTTTAAAGACTTCTACAATTACAGCCAATGATTACGGAGCGCTCATCGTTGTATTTCCTGAACGCACCCAGAGTAGCGTGAAATTTATACACAATTTCTGGCGTGTGTTGATCTAAATAAGGGCCACGATCCGAAGGGAAAAGTTTTATACATAATCGTAACATCAAATTGTTTATTTTGTTTGAATTAACGAGATAAATAAATTCTGTTCGACATGGCGGAGGAAATGCTGAGGGAATTGGAAGCCGCGGCGCAAGTTATTTTGGTGAGTCTTGCCGCTAGATTTTCTTTGTCTCTCAAATAGATCATCGCGAAGCTTCCAGCTTAAATGCGATCGATGAATGAAACAAAGAATATCGTCCACGAATTCTTGCGAAACTTCTTTCGTTCCCTCAAATTGAGTCTAAATTTATGAGTAGGAAGTATCATATTCTATCGCGCTCGAGAATTTTTGTCTACGTTCATGAGATCTGATTTTGAGGTTAAAATCTTCGACACATTTAAAAATTTATCTTTCTAAGATTCAACAAAATTCTAGATACCCGCGTATGCATTTGACGTCTTGCGATAGAATGAAACAGAACAAAATGCGGTTTAAATATATTTCTAGAACGAGGCAGACGATTTACGCAAATAAATGTCATGTGTGAGACAAAGCAAAACAAAACTTTCAGACGTGTCAGTGCAGTCCACGTGTTACGTAATTTCATATATTTTTTTATTTAGAGAAGGCATGGCTTTCACTCTATGAAAGAGAAAGCAGTAAACAAAATGTTGGATATATAATAATCAGTTTGCTAGTAGATTCAAGTAAAATATTGCAATAGATTCTTGTTAATGACATCTGCATCTAGTTCACATATTTTATCTTGTATATGAACATGTAAAATAGAATGTGTGTAATTGTTCTAGTAGTAACTCAAATAACACAAAGTTTAAAATTAGAACATAAAATAAAACTTAGGAAGATAAAAAATAGATAAAAAATTTTGTCTATTGGAAATATTGGATTATTAATCTGATATTAAAATATAATACAATTTTTTTATAAATATTTTTCTTTAGAAAGTTTTCTCATGTTCTTGAATTTATATGACTAATCAATTCAGTTATTATTTGTAATTAAATATTCCAAGTTTTTCTATTATTGTTGAGAAAAAATTGCTGATATGTTTTAATTGCTCATATAAATGTATCAAATCTAAAGTCTGCTAGATAGTAAAAGAAATATCTCATTTGCTTGAAACTATAGAGCATTAATAAATAATTTTATCGCATTACTTTTAGGCGCCGCCAAATCTAATCACATCAGAACAACGTCAGTCTGCGGAAACTGTATTTATAAATTTTCGGAAAACAAAATCACCGTATCAATTATGTCAGCAAATTTTAGAATCAAGCACTGTAGATTATGTACTATTTGAAACAGCTGGTTTAATAAAAATGGCTCTAGTCCAAGAGTGGTCCACTCTGCCAGAATCTGACATTTCATCATTGAGATACTACTTGTTGCATTACGTTATGAGTAGACCTACATTAGCACCATATGTCAAGGCAAGAATACTCCAAGTTTTTGCAATAATAATTAAGAGAGGCAGTGTAGATGACTTTGGACAGGAGAGAAGTCGAATTTTAGATGAAATAGAAAATTTAATAAAGGGTGGAGACTTATCAAATGTAAGTATACATTAGAATAAGATTGTCCAAAATTATATCATCTTATGTGATGTGTAAAAGAGAAGAAGGGATTAAAAATCATTTCCTTATTTGTAGCAAATTTTAGGCTGCAATATTTTATCTGCAATATTGCAAGAATATGCAACGACTGCTAAATCGTCTGATATAGGTTTAACATGGGAAGTTCATTTTAAGGAGAAGAAACAGTTCGAGCTAAGCGATATGAAAAAAATTTTTAAATTTTGTATTGAAATATTTGGTGAATTAATCAAGAAGGATTTTAATGACTCGACATTACCTGTCGTGAAACCTTTACTTTCCATTGTGGAGAGTATACTTACTTGGAGTTTTATCTACGTAAATTATATCCTTTTATTATTAATATTGTAAATAATATATAATATAAAATAATATAATAATAATATATAATATATAAAACTTGACATTCATTGATATAAAAATATTATATATTAATTGAAAAAGAAACAAAATTGGAAATTAAATATTCTCATCATTCAAATAAATGAATAATGACTTTCTATATATAATACAATATAAATAAGAAAGATTATTATAGTTAGTAGTTATAGATTTATATTTATTTTATAATTATTTTTGTAAATTTTTATAAATATTCCATTTTATTCTTATTTATATTATAGCTCATATTTTATTCAATTTACATTTAATATTAAGTATGATTTAATAGTAACATATAAATTTAAACATCAAATATGAAAAAATATGATAAAAATGATAAAAAAAATAAATATGATAAAAAAAATTCATATATAGTTAAAGTAAAATAATATCACAGTTAAACCTTAACTCCAGTGCACTACCTAAAAGATTATATTATATGTGTGAAGTTAATGAATCTGGAAACAGTCCGCCATTGAGATTACATATACAATGGCAGGATATAGTACTAGATCCAGCAATATTAGATCTATTTTTTACATTGTATTGGAAAGTACGCAATAATCCACAACTAGCTCACCATGCTATGAACTGTTTGATACAACTGGCAAGCTTACATGGTAGAATTTTAAACGGTGAACAATTAAAAGTGCAATATCTGACAAATTATATGCAGAGATTTTTGAAACTTGTATCGACCATTGAGATTAGTGATCAAGAGGCAAATGGAATTACCAATATTATAAGAAAAATTAATTATTTCTTTCAAAGTTCACTGAAATATCTTCCCGAAGACATGTTGAAATCTTTTTTAGAACAAATAACAAGATTAACATGTTTATTTATAGAATGTGCTGCACAAGAAGAATCGGTAATTATTATTTTATTTGGATCCATATTTGAAGTTTGGTATAAAAATTTTTGAATTTGATTCTAATCTTCTTAGAATATTTAATTTTATAAAAAAGTCCTTTACTATATTATATGTATATTAATGTAATTGATTTTTTTATATGTATATAAAAAAATTTATATAAATTTTTATGTTTACAGATACATACTGATGATTGCTTATATATGGAAGCTATGGAACACATGTTTGAAATATGGCCATGTGTGTTTTTATCAGGTTGGGGAGCATTTCCAATAGAATTTTGTAAGCAGAGCTCTATTCAGATATTCGATATATATCTTCGATGTCACTTATCACCTCCTGAAGGTATAAGAAATATCGGTAGCAAAAGTCTTAGCGAGGAAGTAGCAGATGTGGAAGATGATGACAAAGTTAAATATAAGGAGCAGTTACAAATAGTTGGTAAATAGCATTAGTGGATTTATATGTATTATAAATATCTATTAAAAGATATTTTGTTACATTGATTTCAACAATATAATAACGATATAATATGTTTGATAAAATTTTAGGAAATTTTGGAAGACAAGTGCTGAGGCATTCTTTACCTCTATTAGTGCAATTACTTGAAGATCGAATACATAAGTTGCGTGATAATCTAAACATATTGGCTGGGCAAAATGAATCTTCATCACGACCTGCATCCATGGATGAGTTATATGAGGATTTGCATTGGCTTATTTTAATAATAGGGCATGTTTTTTGTATGGAAGCGGAAGGTGAAACAGCATTAATACCTATAGAAATTACACGATGCAGTATGGAACAGGTTTGTAAAAGTTCAGTAACTTCTCTATCTCAGAGTAAAAATACAGATACTATAAATTTTCTTTGTATTTTCAGTTTCGCGAGGGACAAGTCGATATAAATCGTACATTGGAATTTTTAGTATCTTCGCAAGATATTCAATCGGATATAAGTAATCCGACGGACTGTATCGACCAAGTTATTCGATTAATCACTGGCATTTTTCGCTTATGCACTATTGAGAAAACTGCTATAGGAATACACTTGGAAAATATACTTAGTCCTGAATTAAGTAATACGATAATATGGTTTTTACAAAGATGGTCGCAGTGCTATCTTTTGCCAACTGAAGACTATTACACCGAATTAAGCACTACGCTTTTGCATGCTTTCGGTGTTGATAGTCCCGGTGCGTTATGGTCGATGAATTTTATCTTGGATAAAGTAATTTGCAACCTTAATGCTTTTAAAAGTGAACCAGCATTAGTAAAGGAAACTATAAAATTGTTAATATCTCTTTGTAATTCACGAATGAGGTAAATATAACACGGAAAATGTATAATAGTCACATTAATAATTTGTTTAGGGACAACGATATTTTTCCGTACAAATTAATAATTGATAAATTAAGTTTCGAATAGAACTTGACTAGAATGGAAAATTTTCCAGATGGAATCCACGGATTATGGATTTCGCTAAGATTTTTGCTGGATGATATTTTGTGAAAAAAATATGGGGCATTTATTTTCTGGTAGGTGATTGCACATACCCGCTTTTGCGCGGCAAGAGAATTGATCATAAATCATATAAATATATATACAATAATAACAAATATTAATTTAAATTCAACTTATTTTACATATATATCTAAATGGAAATATATTGAGAAAGTAAAATTATATATGTATGTACATATAAAATTCCTCAAAGTTTGTATACGCTCAATTTTGTATGTTTGATAATGTTCGCCTCTTTTTTCTAAAATTTAATTGGACACCATATTTTACGTAATTTTAAATGATCTGTATTTAACAATTTTAAAATTTTAATATTCTTAAAATTTACTTAAGAATATATTTTTATTAACAAAATTCAGCTTGTTAAAAAACATATTTAATGTTGAGTAAATAATGACATGTTTGGTTTAATTTAATAGAAATTTTCAAAAATTTTTCCTAAGTTTTTTGATACTTATGTTATTTTCTCTTAAAGTTTAGTACAAATCTTATGAATATTTGAATTTTATGGATCATATATCTATACGATTTTATATCACATGTTTATACGTAAAAAAAGATATGTTAAAGATATCCAAGAACAAATTAATTCAGAAAATAATCTTTTGATATTTCGCCATGTTTCGAGTTATAGTTTGTTAATTAATCTTTTGATATTAATCTGTTTACACATTAAAAATTTTTTAATAGATAAGTAATTTATTTTGTGCCTTCCAGCTTTGAAAGGGATTACCATAATCTACTATCTTGTTTTTTCATTTTCACATCTAAATCTTTATTTTTATATCTTTATTTTCAAAATCATTCATTTTGTTTTCAATATATCACTTTATTTTGATTTGATACATGACACTTCAGAAAAATAAAATATGCGTGCCCTAGACAAATTATCGTCTACTTTAGTAAATGTATTACGTTTACGATTGCTTTAACAGAATAAATGTTCTTTATGGTTCACGGTTCTTATTTCTTTGTGATTTAATTGTGTTTGTGACAAAAAATATCACATTACATGTTACAGCTTGCATAAAAAAATATAAAGGCATTTGGTATATATTACACAAGATTTAACGTTAAAGTAATCGTTATAATAATATTTTTAATGGTATGGTAAAATCTAAATATATTAATTTTTCAGAGCCTGCTGCTTATTAAAATCTGAACAATTTACTTATATTACTCAGTTGGCTATGAAAACACAATATGATTTTCCTCAAACCATCAAAAGAGGTTTAATGCATGCAGTGGTGAATGCTTGTAGCATGCTACAAAATTTAAGACCAAGTACGGACTATAACCACTGGTTGCAAACTGTAGAATCCTTGAAAATCAGATATACACAATTAATTTCTAGTAATAATTTCATGTCGTCCTACCACGAGGAACACATTAAAGTTCAAGTCATAGATATATTGGAATCTTGTATAGGTAATTTGTTGAATATTTATTTAAGTTTTTATGTGATCGATAGTTCGTATATTTTATTTGACTTGAGATAAAATTATACATATGAAATTGTCATTTTATTTAAATAGGTGTGTTGCAAGGTACTGAAAGTGCGATAGTAACGGTCGTGTATCAACATACTTATCCTATATTAAATGAATTACCAAAATTATTATCTTTGTATCATAATTATCAAGATATAGTGCAACTTATTTTAGAACTATTCAATGAATATACGAAAATTTTATTTGATTTAACAGAGGTAAGTTCTTGCTATTTATCTGAGCTATTAAAATTAATTGCTGGTATTTAGTTTTAATATTATTGTATTATTTTAGCCTGATCTTGTCTCTGTATATAAGACTTGTTTAAGATTGTTGCAAACATATGCACGTTGCAACAGTCATCGACTTACCATAGATTCGACTGCAGAAGAGGATACTTTTCAGGATATTTTATTAATAATGCGATTATTAACTAATTTATTAATTAAAGATATATTTAACTTAAATCATGCAGTAAAACAATCGGCGAATGAATCTATCGATCCTGTTCTGTCCACTGACGTTTTTCTGTATGGCTTAAATATAATCATGCCTTTGATGACGATGAATTTGTTAAAATTTCCGTCATTATGTTTACAGTAAGTATAATTATATTTAATCAATATGTAAATAGAAAATATATATTTATTAAGTTAAATTATCAAATTGAAATTATAATAAATAAAATCATTTTCAATTTTTATTTATGGTTTAAATATTTAATTTGAAAGATTTTTACGAACTTTGAATTAGTTCGTGTATTATAATATTTCTATCCTTGTTATATTGGCATATATTTAATATTGCTTTTTTTACAGGTATTTCAAAATGATAGCATTCGTATGTGATCTATGTCCTGATCACATTTGCGACCTATCTCCTAAACTGTTGCAGCAGCTCTTAGCGTCAGTAGAATTAGGTTTATATTCATTTGGCAATGAAGTAGCTGCGCTTTGCTGTGATACAATTCAAGTTTTAGCCAAGCATATTTTTAATGAAGTTATACACGGACATTCACGTAAAGATATAATGGCTCCTTTCCTGAATGTGAGTTTTTACTTAAGTGATTAAATATGCACAATGTGCTTTTTAGAATCCAAATTCTAACATATTGAATTTATTTTTTTCAGTTACTCATAAGTCTCATTTTGTCACATCAAATGGATTCAGATTTGATACCAAGCGCCAGTATGCCTCTGTACTATCTCATATGTTGCTATCAGGATCAATATCAGCAACTTGTACAAAGCATTGTGTCCACTCAGACGGATCCACAGATAGCACAAAGATTAGCAAATGCATTCACTACGTTGACAGCGAATATAGAATTAAACGCTGAACGTGATCAAAGAATAAAGTTCAAAGATAACTTTGAAAAATTTATCGTAAACGTACAAGGATTCTTAATGGTTAAGTAAAGATTAGAAATTAAAATGTAAATACGCAAAAATAAAGAATTTATTTAAACAATATAAATTTAGATATTGAAGCTGATTGAAAAATTTCAAGATCGTGTTTCCGTCGTACGTTTAACCATGCGGTTAATTTCCCGCTTAGATATTTTTCACGGCGCTTAGATTTTTTTTTAACAAATTTACTTAATGTATTTATAGAAAAATCAAATTAAATTCAGTTTTTTTTAATTAGTGTAGACGAATATATTGATTAACTACGCAACGAGTTTTTAATGTACGGATGATGTTTACGGAAAAAGGACATATATTAAGCATATAAGCTTTTTATTGACCGATTTTATTACACGTTACCACTTACAGTGAGCCTAGCGAAATATTCGAGTAACCATAATATAATATTTATAATAAATACTAGTTACAGCATCGATGCACGTTTCCGATAGTAAATGATCGAAGGAAAACGTTTTGTAACGAATGTTTAGTTTATGAACGAAACACATGGAACTTACATACTTGGTACAGATCGCATCGTCGTTAGCCTTCCTGTTATTATGTTGCCTCGCGAATGATTCTCAATGTTCCACAAAAGAACGCTTATTAAAGTAACATTAAATTTATTTATATATTTATATAATTTATACTTTGTATTATGTATATATATAAGCGAACGTGTCCTCTCTCGCGCTCTCTCATACACCCTCCTTTCACACAATCTCCATTCGGATTCTTTTTCTCCCTCTCTTTCTCTCTCACTTGCTTTTCTCTGCCTTTCAGTCTCTCAGGCACACTCTCATTCTTGTCGTGTCCGTTCTTCTTCTCTCCTATATTTCGTCTACTAGTAATAACAATGATTATTAATCTCTCCAACGACTTAAATGCGATGTAAATTTCTCTGGTAATGTACGCTTCTTTCTCTCTTTCTCTCCTCTTCCTCTTATTTTCTTTCATCATGTATACCACTTGCTCTTCGCTATAGTCGATAGAGAGCCTAAAGTTCAACTTATATACTTATGCATTTATTTCTCGATATACATCGTACGGTGTTGTTAACAAAATAAAACTATCAGATACTACAACAGTCAGCAAGCGAAAACGGATAATCAGTGGTGGGGCGTTTACACTCGTGTAAAGCCGCGTTCGAAAAGTCGTGTGGGCGATCGAAAAGAGAAATACATAATTGGCCTCAGGATCGAGCGCGCGAGACGCTTTTACGACTAGAATCAATCGAATCAAGATCGTCTTCCGTCAAATTCCGATATCCACATCTACGTCGGAGTTCTCCCCTTTCGGGAGAATCCTGGTCGAAACCTCGTATTTTATAGAGATGTCAAGGTACACGAAATCGATGGACCACTTCGATGGAAGGGTAACAATCTAGAATTGTTCGCACTTGCGAAAGGAGTTTGGATGAGATTTCTTATCGAAGGGACAGTAACTAAGGGGTACAACGAAGTAAATGACAATTGGACAATTGGAAAAGAGTATACATGTAGAACTTATACAGCGTAGATGCGCTCCCAAGTAGCATTTATGGAATGTAATTAGAGAGATGACAGAACTCGCGATATAATAATTACAAAATGTATGAATATAGTATTTACGATTCTACACAGCTGTTTACTCAGTAAGCAAAATATTAATAGCAGTTTGCTAGTAAATTCGAGTAGAATATTATAACAGATTGGTATATCAACTATATTTGCATTAAGCTCGAATTCCTGCTAGCGGAGATTGTCGATGTCAATTTATCAATCTATTCTATTGAATTTACTGGCAAAAAAACTGCTAACATTTTGTCTATTAAGAAAACTTCTGGAAACAAAATATATGCTATAATTATTTCTGCTAGCAGAAATATAATAAAAATTTATTAACAGAATATGACGATAAATTAACTATAGAACTGAATCTATCATTTCGAAACTGTTTAAACAATATATTCTATTTAAATCCTTACGAAGTAATAGATACAATTCAGTTTCCGCAATCAAATCTGCAATCATATTTTGTTAGCAAATTTCATCATATTATTGCTAACATTTTATCGACTAATATTCATTTCTACCAATGTAGATTAGCTTTAATCTTGGTTTAATTTATTTATTTTTTTCTAAAAGAAAAAGGATAAATAGTAAGTTAAATTGATCTATATTAGTAAAAATATATAATAAATATAGGATACAATGGATAAATTAATAGCGGATTTATACGATCTCCATTCAGATTTTACTGTCTGAGTAACAGGTTCTGAGTATTCGATGATGTGGGATGGAGCCAAATAAATTTCTGCTATGTGCGAGAAATGTCAATACTACATGTCGACTGTCATGAAATGCCTATTATATAATACATATTGTAATACATATCGAGAGAGCGTGTCCGCCTTTGACTAACATCTCAAACTTGGACATTGCGATCGCGTGTATCGTGAGTTAATATCAAAGATGTTGAGAGTTCACCAAGTGAGATGCATGGAGACACATGTATTTATAATGCCGCACCCGGCATTATTCAAGACTTATTACACTTGTAAGAGAAGTTAGTAAAAGCTTCGGAACAACACATTCGTCTATCGCTCTACCGAGGAAACTACTCGATTTCGAATCTTCGAACTTGAAAACAATTTTGCCAGTCTTTAATTTTTCTAAAAGGAAGAGAAAAAGATCGTTTTTTTCTGTGCCAAATTTAATTTTGTTTGCTTTAATATGATTCCAATTTTAATTCATTTAAGTTGCGAATGAACATTCGTTAAGAATCCGACTGACTCGAAACCCAAGAATTTCCTTGTGAGACGTATAGTCATCGACTACGCTCATCAACGTGTACTCGTGGTACGTTCGAAGATGTGTGTACCGCATTCGTGGCAAACGTTTTCGAGGAGCACTGCTTAAATTCTAAGTAGACATGAAAGCACGATGTGTCAGAGTGTGGCGTCTATATCCATAGATTAGCGTAATTTTATCTCTATTCCGCATGCTACGAGATATGAAATGCGAATACCCCAAGCTCGTCCTAGCTTCGTATCAACGTGAGTCTTGATCGGTTACAAGTGGAAAATTTCTTTACATTGTCTCGACGCGCCGCTTGCTTGCCGACCACGCACATTTATTCGTGTTTCGAAGAAGTTTGTAATATATATTTTTCTCCGTTTGTCGAAATTATTAGATTGTAGAATTGTTGCAACGATGATATCAATTTCATTTTGATTCAAAAATTCGCACATAGTCTTTTGTCTTTTTGCCTCGATAAATTTATATTTATACTTTTCAATAATCACTATACATTGCAGATGTGTATTAGAGCATTATAATGCAGAAATATCTTTAAAACATTTCAAACGCATATATTGCATTTTCAAAGATTCGTAAAAAAAGAAAAGTATCATATCGTCTAATATATCGTAATCTCATATTGGAATTATAACAAAATTTCAAATAAATTGTTATTATCGTTGCAAAATTTTTACACTAGTTTTAAATAAAGATTCTTAAAAACAAAGAGTTACAAATGCTTAATTATTATTTGTGTACTCGATCTGTTTTTAAGAATTTTTGTTTTTTGTATTCCGCTTTTAAATTTATTCGTAGTCAAAATAGCTGCCTACTAAAAAAATATGAACAAGGATTTATAAATACCTTAAAATAGAATAAAATTACTCTACACCGAGAATAACAGCGTGACGCGGTGAAAAAAATGTACAATAGCGCATACGTCTTTTCACACGGAAATCGGATAATTAGTATCGGTATACGAATCTGATCTACTTGATCGAATAAAAAAAATGACTAGCAAATAGGAAATAGGAATGTAATCCTTATAAAAAATCGTCTCTACCTTTTTAAACAATCATCACGTTACTAAGATGCTTAGATAGAGTGCTGTTTTAAACAGATCTTAACGATTTGCCGGAATTCTCTTATAAAATGTTAACGCTCCTCTTTTTTTCACGTCATAATAATCTTTCGCGTATTAAGCGAGCGTTAAAATGTTGCATATGAAATTATTAATATCTTCTTGTCTCGTTTATTTTTCTGTCTCTTTCATGTTTTTCTATTTTCTTTCGCTCTCTCTCTCTCTCTCTCTTTCTCTTTCTCACTTTTTCTTGCATACGTTCTCTTCTACAGATATATCTATAACGTGTATTCCTTATCTCGATTTTCAGTGATCGTCTTAGGAATATGTTTATTAGGCATAATGTATTTTTTTTCTTCCTCACTTATCGCATATGTGAAGGATACATAGTCATGTGATGTCGATATACATATTACAGAAATAAGAATTCCATAAAAATATCCGCGTGCACGCGGGCATAACTTTGTCTCATCGACGTGAATAGCATTTCGAATGCGAGTTCGAAATGTACGGAGAGACTCGAAAACGAAAATTTTTCCCAGTATAATCGAATACATTTGTATGCGCATTTAACTTCTTCGAAAGACGAACACTATCGTTTTTTCCTTCTTTTTTCCCCGCTCTAATTGTCTTGTAACGTGCTAAGGGGACGCTGTGTAAAGTAAAACGTCGATTACATGCCGCCGATTATAGATAGTCTCAAGGGACAGTTTTGTTACCGCCCGGTCAATCAAAAACCAGCGGAAACCGAAAGTTACAGAACTCTTGGGACTCTAAGGCCGAGTGCGACCAACACAGCATTTTTTCCGACGCCTTCGCTATTGCACTCGTTATCCCGGCCATAGTATCGACCACTCACTTGGTCTGATTGCTCTGTTGCTCCAGTTGCGGTGTCAAACCGATCGGCGCACCATTGCTCAAATTCGGTGCAGCCGGACTTTTGCGGGCGAGCTTTGACCTATAACATAGCATATAAGCAATCTATCTATCGTCTTCATAATTTTGAGTGTGTCAGATAACAATATACATATAATAATATATTTGTGTTAATCTTAATGAAGTAAACGAAGCGATCTAAATTCATGTTATTATACATGCCTAATTTGACCAGCTAAGAGGGGATTGATCGCATACAGCCAGTCGTAAACCTCCTTATCGCCTAAGGTTTGCAGTAAGTATCCTCTGTGTTTAGTGACGACGCTACATAGACAAACATTTCAGTATTTGTGGTACAATCATATGTCTAAATATTTTCTTACTCACGAATAATTTACCTGAAAGTATTTGGAACTTTCACCATAGCCAATTGATCCTCGGAGTATTCAACTTGAGCCGTAGCTAAATTAATTAATGCCCTTTCAACAGGATCCTTTTCCTCTCGGAAAATGAGAACATATGGTCGGCGAACAGCCTGAAACGATAAAGAGGGAGCGTGAATTTAATTATATGTCATATGATGATTTGTTAGGCAACATAAATTTAACGGTGATGAACGTACCACCCAGCGTTTCTTCCAGCCGTTGGTCTTGTGTTCGAGAACATTCAGATAGCCCTTCCGTGCAATGACAGGACTGATGCGTATCTCCTCGACCTCCGGTACGTACAGCACCAGATTTTCTTTCGACGGTGATGACGATCCGAGTGGCGGCGGCGCAACAGTGCAGGTTTGATTAGCCGATTCACTTGCTAATATACTTTCCTGGAGTTCTTGCAATCTAGCCCTTTCCGGCGAGCTCAACCTAAGGAGGCACGACTTAGACCTGCTCCATACTACTATACCAGCAGCCTGCAAGTAACACTCCAGCATGACCCCGACCACGAGTCAATCGTGCTGGCGGTTGTCTTGGCAAGTCGAGACGTTCGAGTCTCGAGTGCCACACGTTGAAGACGAGCGTATGCGAAAGCAAATGTCTCGGAAGCTGAATCGATTTGAGAAAGCGCGATAATCTGTGTGTCAAGCTAGAAGAATGCGTGAATCGACTACAATTTTACATAGCAAAAGTATGAAGAAAGTAAAATCGAATGCCATTTTATTCTTTAAATCGCTTCCATTTAGAGCCTTCATCCATATATTATTTATTTAGCACATCAAATTAAAATAAAATTATACACGCGTATTAAGAATATTTAGCGAACGAATCGAGTATTATTTAAAATTTTTAAATATTGCACCATTCTCTTTTAGAGAAGACGCAATGACACGAAGCGAAGCGTGACAACCGCTACTAGCAAGAGCACTCAGAGGGAGCATGCAGGGAAGGTTACCTGCTCTAAAAAATTGTTAGTTCTCGCATATACTGACTCTTGAGATGAAGACGATATGACCGAAGACATCATAGACGCTGAAAGATCGCCTATGGTGTCTTCCCCAGGTGAAACGTCAGAAAGCAATATCGGTTCCTTGCTTGGGATTCTTCCTTGAATAAGCTTAATATACTTGGTCGCTAATTCACGTTCCCTTTCGGTCATCTCCCAGGGTTCATAAACGTCTTTACTAGTCGAACGTTTCAATTTCACCGGGCTGGCATGTGGCTCGTTCGTAGCCTTCGCCACCATATTACATACATCCTGTACCAGATTCAAAATATTATATATATAATTGAGCATTTAATAAAATCGCACAGACTTACCTTTTCGCTCTTTGTGAAATCGTGCAGTGGTTTATTGCAGAATGGTACTTTGTCAATGCCGAGCTTCTCTCGCAACAGCAATGTGTGCCGCACTCTCTCCACTTCCTCAAGCCTCGTCAATTTCTCGAGCTCCCACTGATGGTCGAATATAAGACTATCTCCACGTGGCCTCCATCCATGCAGGTTTTCTTCACCTCTCACGTATGTAGAGCTTGTATCCAAGACGCGACGTTGACGTCTTTGAACTCCTATAAATAAATCGGGAAGGAAAGAGGATAGGTATCAAGAAAAAGGAAAAGTGTAAATGTATATATAAAACTATTGCTTATAAAGTAATAATTCTATATATGAAGAAATCTATATATTATACCTTAATATTAAAAAATTGTAGAACAATATGTGTCTTTTTATATCAAAATTTTAGAATCAAAACAACCAACCAATTATTATAATATTGCGTATAAGTAATCTGAATCTATATTTAAACATTGACTTTTCTTTGTTTTAAACGACATTGATTGTCTTGTTTTCGAAGAATCTTTAAAAAGATCTATATTTAAAGTATATATATTAGATATATCTAGGTAAACAATATAAGTGTGTTGAGAGGAAAGTGAGATTTTATTTCATTTTAATGTGATGTTAAGCAGAACACGGGACTACACTATGGTTAGACATAACAAACCTGGGCTACCTGCTTCCGAAGAACGACGTAGCACCAGTTCGTAGACGCCGCTGAGTCGATTCGCTTCCTGGTTGCGATAGCTGCCGCTAAATAGATGCTTGAGCGAGCGTGGTCCAACTCTCGCGTCCCTTCCGTAGATGATCATGCTCAGATCTTTCGTAATAATCGCAGGTCTTCCACAATTCTCCAGCTAAAACGGACACGGAGTGAAAGTAAGAGACCTACTGAGACATGTCCGTTAACAATTAAATGTCTAATACATACCTCGAGATATGCGGAGATAGTCATAAAGATTTGCTCTCCGTAAGACGTGACTCGATTGAGCAAAGTTGAGTTGTGCAGGGAGCTGTCCCAGGCTGCTTCGAATCTGAACATAGTACGGTCGTCACCGGGAACTTCGAGATACTCGCCGGGAAATAGACCCAGTGAAAGCACGGACGAGTCGTTATCCTCCTCCTCGGGTTCCGGAGTGTTTCGAATGCGGCCGACTACAAGCTCGCGCACGTCTTTCCACCTTAATTCGGACGCCGGTTCGTGCACAATGGTGATTCGTATACCGTCGCCTGTATGCCTTGATGAAGCAGGAACAATCCGCGACAGGGTAAATCGTCGCTATGGTCCACTACCGACGGCACATATTCGCCATTTGGTGCCAATTCGCAGATCTCGAACCATACTAATACATCGTACTTGGCGTGCACATGCGATGTGCTAGGAGATGGCAAGACACTCCCAAATTTCGGCGAACGAACTGGTTGACTGATCGGTATGGATGGCGGAAGCATTCTCTTCGGTGGCTGTCGTACGCTGCTATGTGAATGCGAAAGTGTTTATGAAATATTCTTAAATAGAACCTAATGGAAATAATGGTTACAATTAATACTCACTATTCTAGTTTCGCATCCTTGTGTAATGGATGCTGCTGATAATGACCGAATACTTCGAAAACGATAGGTTGAGTTTTCAGATATTCCAGGAAGGATTTGGTAACCGTGACTGTAATCTGTATCAATAAAAATATATCATTAATTTATATATATATAATTTTTATACGAAATACAGAATAGAATCGTTTTCAACTTACGTTCTGTACGTGATAAAATCCGGGTGGATTACCTTTGCCCGTATTCTTTACTGGTTCTGTTGAGAAAGCTTCGTCGTGTCGATGTAGGAAGCTGCAAAAGTAATTTCGTTGCGGATCACTCAATGGAGTTAGGATAAGCCGCAACAAATGGACACGCTTACTTACTTGAACTGACAGAAAATGTCAGCGTACTCCGTGGAAATACCCATAGCTTGTAGGACCGTTACCCTGAAAGTGAATTCTGCACCGGGTTGCAAGTGATCCGGCAATTCCTCTTCCTTCATGTCACTCGAAACCGAACTATCACCTCTGCCGCTATCAGCATCTCCTATATCGTCTTCGTCTTTCATGTCCTTCTGGTTGATTTCATTGTGCCCTTCGACTACACGCTCTTCATGCAACATGATCTGTCGGTTCTTCTCTAAAGTCTGAGCCAGGAGCGAGCTGCGCTTGTTATGTTTATGTCCACCAAACAAGTCGTCCTCGAAGGAGATTCGTGCTGATTGTCTGACGCCGCTTGAGTATTCGCTGTTTTCCTCTTCTAGAACAAGGGTTCATTAAATACATCTGTATAAACAGGTGGGGAAGCATAAAAGCATGGCTACGGATTACACACCAACTACGGCCTGTACTGCGACTCGCAGGTAACCCTTAACATCGCCCTTTTCGTTGACGATAGCTACTTTGTGGATCAGCGGCACCGGATACATGAGATTGCTCAGATATACGAAAGCTCTGAAAATCATTTAAAATCAGATCAGCACAGATTATAATGATTGAAAGGGAAAAGAAGGGAAGATATCACAAAAGTCATATCATTTTAATTATGTTCATTTACCTGCCGACCATACGGAACCACGGAAAACGATCATAAAACGGATCACCTCCTGTGATGGATTCGATATTGAAATCTGGAGACGTGGGTGAGAGCTCAGCTTCATTATGATACATCTCGCGCATCAACTCCAGCCTTTGCCTGGAAAACGAATGAAACTATTATTCATTACGATTTCTATACAGCAAAAAGTTGTGTGAATGCGATCATAACTCGTGTGTTAAATTGTGTCGAAAGATGTGTTTAATTTGTCAAAAATTTCTTCAATCATGTTTCTTCGGATCTTTGATATTCAATCTCTATGATCTTTTCGTATGCATACTTTATCATTATTATACCAACTTATTTATAATACTTGCACAATGGCGAGTTTTTTTTCTATCAAAAGTTTATTTTTTTTTTCAATAAAAGCCAATATTGCTTAATAATTATATGCAGTGTGGTATAATAATTAATAAAAAAATATTGAAGTACACATGTCTTTGTTGTAAAATAGAATTTTGAGTATTCCCTTTATGGGATTAATGATTTTTTTTTTTCTTCGCGACTTTCTTGACCGAGCTGTACGAATCGGATACATGTGCATGACAAAGTTGGAAAGCGAAATAGTGAGGACACGAGCTCGGCGGAGGAGATAATTAGAAGATGTGTCAGTGTTGAGACAGACGTGCACAGAATGCGACGAGACGCTTTTTCTCACATTCAGACAGCATAGAGATGTTCACAGCAGCAGAAGCGGTGCTGCATAAATTCTGGCGAGGGGAGCTCGGTAATCAACATTTTCAATTCGCATCGCGTTTTGTTTGCGCTACCAGTTAGAAAAAGAAACCATGCAGATTTGCCGATAAATTTCGTGAAAATCAAAGTGCAAAGCTCGTTCCGCTTGTATCCGCGCCGACGGACGGGCACGGCATTGCCATGCCGAGGAAGCCTCTCAAGACAGATAAGAATAAAACAACGACAAAACGCACGGCAGTAAAATGATTTTTGCGCCAGTGACATGGGATTCCCCGAGGCCGAGGGCGTAAAAGCGTATTACATGGCGATAGAGAAGAGAGAGAGAGAGAGAGAGAGCCTCGCGCGTTCGAGCACCAACCTCGAAGGCAAAAGATTTGCGAGCGAGAACTTCGGATTAGAGTAGACTGTGAGGCATTGGAAAATATCCTCTTTGGCCTCCGGAGTGCTGGGGCTCGAGTCCTCGTTGTACACGTGTCGCATCAGCTCCAAGCGCTGTCTACAAGTCAACATGTATTACTTCGCGTATCTTTATAACCGAATGTGAACCGAATTTTACTAGTAAGCCACGACACTTTCATACTCGTCCGAAAAGCGAAAGGATCAAAACTCAATTATTCAATTTGCGATGCACAGCGCGCGCAAAGGAATTTTTGCTCGTTCAGCGATATGAATATTTTCGTAAAAATGAGACGGATCAATAATCTTCGTAGTTTTCATCGAGCACGCAAAAGATGCATTCGTGCGTCAGTAACGAAACGGAAAAGAAATTGTCGAACGTTGCATAAAGAGATCTCGTTTTTAGTTAGAGTGATGAGGAATTGAAGTATAATCATAGGACATGCTGGATGCATAAATTTGACGATGATTCGTAATGCAAATATAATTTAGGAAATTATTTAACAGAATATTGTCAATTTTTTAAATAAATGATCAATTAGGAAGGAATTTTTTTTTAGAAGTAGAATATGTTTTATGTATATCAGCACGAATGCTCTGTTAATTAAATACAGCAAATAAGCACAATATAGCAAAATATGAAATGGATGCGAAACAAACCTTAGCTTGTCCAATGTCCAGTAATGCGTAGCACCATTTTTCGTATCTTGCACTTCGACGGCAACGATCGTACGTGGAAATGGTCTTTCGTCTTCCTCTTCTTCATCCATAACGGGTAAAAGATCGGGAGGTAAGGGCGAGTAAAGGGTGTCCGTGAGCAAGGTAAATTGGAATTGAACCTAGGAGAGAGAAGTTTAAAGTAATAAAATCCGTTATACGATAGAAAAGCGAATACTTTTATCCTTGGTATTTTTTTAAATACGTTTAATAGATATCGTAAGCTGTGCGATATTAATTTTGCAAAGATTAATTTTGCATATGCTCATTGAAATTATCATAAATTATCATAAAAGCTATTATTGCACAAAATATATATCGCGCATCATACGCAAATCATACGAATTCACAATTATTATTCATATGAAAAAAGTTTAGAATTCGTATCTGAAATTCGAAAGTACACGGAAATATAGTGCAGAAGTAAACGCAAGTGAAAGAAAGCCGTGCCGAAACTTTCCGTTGTACATTCCGCGACTGTACCTTCTTTTTTAGTTCAACGGATATAGCATTAGCCTCTTTAAGGAATATCGCGTTGCCCCAAAGATCGTCCCGTAAACTCGTGAATTGATGATACTTCCACTTGCGGAAGGCCCAAGCGGCCAGTTGAAACTCTCTCTCGGTCCAGTTGCTCTCTGCGTCAAACAATGGGTTGACTGAAATGCAAGCCATTACCAGGCAAAACAGTCAGAGAAGCCAAGCGTTTGATGAGGTAATACCGATTAAGTGTATTTTAAATGTGCTATGTCCTATCGACGAGATAATTAGGCTTCGTAGCATGCAGTAAATCTTCGATAGTGTAAAAAAATATTCGTAAGAATGATAAAGTGAAAAATGAGATAGGAGCCCAGTCGATCGGGCATAGCCACACCAAAAAAATATTTGGACTTGAAAGCAACTTGTTTTCCACACTCACCGAAAATATCTTCCTCAATGTTATTGAAGTCTTCCGGTGTGTAGCTACTGTACATAGACATTGTCATACTTTGTTCCTCCACCTGTCTCTGCAGTGCGTCTATCCGCGCTTCGTAGCTCTATTCATAGAAGCGATCGATCATCACAATGCATTAAATGACGAATTGAAGAGAAATGATGTGTGCACTCGTATTATACGCACCTTTCGCTGCTCTTCAAATAGCTGATCAGCTTCCTCCTTTTCTTTGCGAAATTGTTCCTCCAGTACGAGTAATCTCTTTTCCATTTCAGCCTTCAGATCGATACCTTGTTTCTCTAATAACTCTACCTGTGCGAAGTCCCAATCCGCTAACGGTTCATTATTGCCAGGGGTTTCTGTCGGAGATCCGTTTGCTATTCGTTCGCGTACTATATTAAACATACGAATATTCATAAATATTTGTAATTCGTTAACAAGTAAATCGTTCGAATATTGCGTACCTTGATCTGGATGATTAAATCGGAAAACGTGACTCTTTCCCAGAATGACACGCGAACCGGTTGTCAGGATAAGTGGTTCGGTTACTTCGCGACCATTGACATAAATCAAGGCTCCTTTCTTCGGTATGAGAGTTATAATTCCTTCGTGGTTCTCGAAAACGCAGTGTTCTTTCAATATGTGCGGACCACATAACTGGATGTCCTGGGGCACATGTGCTTCGGCGCTACCGATGCGTGTGAATCCATCCTTGATATAATAAATCAGACACTCCGACATGAGAGGATCCTCGTTCAGATTCACCAAGTGCGGTGTCTTCTTGGGAGAGAAGACACCCACTGTAACACCATCCTCCTTCACAGCAACACCCATTTCTGCAAATACTGCCTCGCGTTGCAGTCGAATCGACTCGGTTCGCTTCAACTTCTCTTCCCATGTTTCGTTTAATTCTAAAATCGAAATAGAACAACGATGTTATGAGGATACTCTTATACAATGTCTGTGCCGTGTATCTTAACAATAGAAGAAAAAAATAACAAAAGATTCGAATAATTCTATTTGCAGCTACGTACCTGCGATTAATTTCTCAGATGCCTGTAATTGTTCAACCGCCTCCTCGGCAATAGTAGATGTGGTATGAGAAGAAATCCTCGGTCGAGTCTCCTTCGTGTCCTCTTCGTTTCGCTTGTTCGTTCTGATAATTTCGTCCCCTGCAAAAGAGAATCGTTAAGTGTCAAGAAAATGCGATCGCGATGTTTAAAAGCCGGCGTCAAAGTCGGTATCGTGAGTCGTATAAACATCAAAAGCCATAATTAAAGCGGTGGCATAGATGAAGAAAAATATTTCAGAAGCTGTAGAATTTGTATCGTTTCTTGCTACATATTCATTCTAAAAATGTAGAAGTATAAATAACAGACTGATACTTTTTACAGAGCATCGGCATGATCTGATGCATACAAGCGTAGTCTATAAAATCGCTGTTTGATATTTATATGCACTTTTAATTATAAATTTAACTAACTTGGCATCCTCATTATGTAGTTTCTCTCTTTCACAAACGCATTTACTCTTTAAATATATATTTGTTTTTGCAAAGGGAAGCATTAATTAATCTTCGATTTAAATTTACTTGAATTTTGGGAATTGTCAAGAAAGTTGCTAATTGTACCAAACATGAGAAAAGAAGGGAGCGCACAATCGATAGGCATTAACAGGACAAATACATACAGTAAATGATGAAAAGGCAACTCGCGAAGCAAACGTACAAAAATTAAAGAGATTGACATATATATATACCATTGACAAAGTATTATGCGCTTAGCGGTGAAATAAGCGCATAAACAAAATAAAAAAAAAAACACAATAAAATTACTACGAAAAAGGCGTAAGAGATGTATGATGCCTGTCTTGGCTGTATTCTTTGCTTGCAATGGATTGTTAGCGTTTTTTACTTACTAGGTTCTTTCTTTTCGTATGTAACTTTGCCATCTGGCCCTACGTCGAGCGTAAGGGAAACAAAGAGAAGAATACTATGTGAATGGATTGCCTGTCGCGCGCTGTGCAATTACAATTAATTTATAGCAGCCAAGAATTCACGTTTATGACACGTTTATGACGTGCGCTGTGATTCCTGAATAATTTCTATTATAATCTACATGACTATTACTATTATATTAATTAACGAGTAATAGATAAATTGAAATTAGGATAATTCTGATGACAATATTTAAATATTCTATAATCTTCCGTCGACTTATTGGGCATTTTTTAAATTTAAGGATTAATTATATTTATTATCTAGCATTATATTCTGTCTGTCCTCGTCCGTGTATATGTTTTCCATAATACAAACTTCTTCAATATAATTTATATAACAATTTTTAATAATTCTTTTAGAATTGAAGCTGTTTAATTTACCTTCTTGTACATCGATGCCCTCTTGCTTAAGAAGCTCCCGTAGCTTCTGTATCTCTTCTTTGAGTTCTCTGATGAGTCTGGCATTCGCGTCCTCGTTGACCACAGCTTTGCAAACAATTTGTTTCGCTCTATCCGCGTATCTATAAATAAAAATAAAAATTATTTAGATTTAGCTAATTAAATGTTTATTACATAATTAACTTATAATTCAAAAAAATATAACAGATAATAAATCTTACCGTAAAGTTGAAAGCGTCTCGTCATAATTGATATCAGCAGGACTAACTGCCGCAATCATAGCGGTTTTCGAATTTCCGCCCAAATTTTCTCGCAACAGCCATGTTAACACGGAGTCTCTATATGGTATAAAATCGGCTTTCTTCTTCTTCTTCGTCGCCTATGGAAAAGATTTTGCAAAATTATTATATTATTTATTTAAACATTATAATCAATTATAATCAAATTAATTATACTAATTAAATATACAATATGCTGTAATTAATTTCTAAGTTTTAGCATTAATTCCAACTTACCGCCTGACAATCCATAATAAAATAGCAAACAAATAGAATAGCGATAATGAGTACCAAATAAACTTAACACTTCAACAAACAGATATAAACAAACAGATATACTTACAATTTCGGCTAGGGCACTAATAACTTTTCCAAGAGTTGTCAAACTCTTGTTAATGTTGGCTCCTTCCTTTAACCGTGTCCCTTTCGCACCTGTCGAATCGGCTCTCTCAGATCCAGCCAAATCGACCAGCGAGATTTTGCTAACTTTTTCCGTCATCAAACCAGTGGCATTGTCCTGTTGCTGTTGTGTAAAGAATATTGTGAAAACCGCATGTGATCTGCTAGAGGTTTCGTTCATATTGGTTGCCGCGACAGTCCTAGAATTTCCAATAATACATATTACGTGGCACAGTACTTTTTGTTTTTTGCAGACGATTACCGAACGTAAACTTACCTGGCCTTGTTACCTTCATCTATGAGGTCATGAATATCTTCGTACGACAATACGGCCAGTTTGGAAAGATCTTCCACGTAAGGTCCGTAGAGAGGATGCTCCCTTACTCGAAGATTTCCCCTATTTTTCGGATTCAACAAATCGCGCACTCTCTCGCAATAGATTTCCATATAACTCACTTCTACCGAATACTTCAATCGTTCATTAGACGTATAGCTGATTTTCCTAAACAGATCCTTACAAATCTGTGGTATTATCCCCTCCTGCCCTTCTTCCTGCTTACCCATCATGGTGTAAGATTTACCGGCGCCGGTTTGACCGTATGCGAAAATGCAAACATTATAGCCTACATCACGAAAAAGAATAAAAAGTTATATGGCAGTCTGTAATGAGACTAATTCAGATCAATTAAATTTTATTTTGAGAAGTAATATGATTTGTTTAAGAACTAAAGTTATCAATTATCAATCATTATTTATGATCTTTCTTAAAATTGTGTTATTTATATCTTTCTTCCCAGTTACTTTCTTACACCTACCTTCAAAAGCATGTTCCAACATTTCTTCACCAATATCTTTGTAAACCATGAGCTGAGACGAGTAGTTCTCATCGTTTGGCTGTAATACGGAGAAGAAACGAAGCTGAATATAACGGTATCGTGTTAATAACTTTTGCATTGAAAGGATACACTTACGTCCATAGAAAAGTAGGAATAGTCATAATTGAAGCTTTTAACAGCATCTTTGCTTCCTGGTGTAGCTTTCGGATTCACTATGGCTATAATGGATATAAATGGATAAGAGGTAGTAAAACGAATCAATAAATTATTACAAGCTCTACTCGTATCTGCGTGCATCGCGCACTAAATTGAAGTTTCGAATTTAAGTGGAGAATAAGAAGTGGTACTCACAAGTGGTACTCCCCGACATTTCTATGATACATTGTGCCTGACGACTGATCTCGCGATAGTTAAAGGGTCGTACCCTCACTGCCACTTTAACCGACGACATTTTCCCTGTGCTTTTAGTCTCCTTTTTTCAACTCAACGTTGGATCAAGTCGACGACGGTGCTGGCAACAATTTCCTCTCTCGTTCGTCTCTCTCTGCAACGAAATAGCATTCCGGTTATTGTGTCGTTATCGAATTAATTAGCTTTACGTTTAGCGTCGCTTTTATTATTGCGACGGTAAAGAAACCGCCACGGAAACGCTCTGTAATCTTCATATTTGTCCAGGAATATATCTCAGTTATTAATATACCGTTCCGATAACACTTTTCCACGATGGTGAATAAGAAAAGAGCAAAAACGTAGCGCGCAATTTACACGATGTAGAATAACTTTGACCAAACTCTGATTAACTTAATTGGCAATTAATTCAATCAACAAAGTCGCTTACCGCAGAACTTCTAATTAAATAATTTTTCATTCAACCAATTTAATTCTTCTTTTCATGCGTGCAACGATAAAAAGTTAATTAATTATCTTTATTAATTGTCAATTATTTTATTCGTATTAATTAATTGTACAGATATTGCTTGATAAATTAATCGGTAATTAAGTTAAATTGGTGTTTGGTTAATCGCTCATATTCGTCTGTAGAATATTTTTCACGAAGGGATCGTCAATCGTTGACATGAACTACTGAAACCAGATGGATCATTTTACGTTAACTTTATTCAGAGAACGATCATATAAAATTCATATATTTCACGTCTTTATTGAATTTAAAATGTGATTAATTTAGATTATGCTTTGTAAAAATTCAAATTTATATAAAATGTGCATATCATGACACAACAAATATTTTCTGTCCACGATTGAATGGAATTGTTTGATCGATTCTGTCATCAAGAATCGGCCGGTTAAACGTGATAATAATTATACGTTTTACAAGCGTCGTCGAAAAATAGTGCGGGCCATTGATCCGTCTAGAAATAACGCGGGTTATCGGAGAATGATTAATTAGTACCGCGACCGATCTATATTTGTGGAAAAACCATGAGAGTCATAGCTTTTTGTGAGAAATGAAATCATCTTACTTCTACTGATCGGCGAATGGATAAATTTATCGATAAAAAATAAAGGAAATGATCTAAATAACTTACTAAGGTGTTCGATTATCTTTTCCTATCAAACCTCGCGATGTTGATTTTTATGGAAAACAGGAAAAATATTATTTTACGTACGAAGAATCAATCCTTCGTGCGTCAGAAAATCATTTTTCATTCGAGAAAAATGTAATTTTCTATAAATATTCATGAATCAATATTGTTAATATAAATGACGGATGTCATATATTACGAACGTATATTGACGTCATTATACGCTGATGCGAGAAATGCGTGTGAGATAAATTTATGTATTACTATCAGAAAATTATGCGCGTAAACAAGTATAATTGGAATAAATATGATGTATTAATATATTATATACACGAGTATATTAGTATTAATGTACGTGATATTTTTATGTGCAAATGCATTAATTATTACCTCAAAAGGCAAAAAAGATTATTTCGTTTTTAAAATAATATTGCATCAAATTGCGAAAAAGTATTTTATTCTTTTAAGCGTATTGTTTTAACAAATCAACGGATAAGAGTTAAATGTAATGCGCCAGAAACACCAAACAAAATAAAAATTCCAAACAATTGAATCTGAAAATACAGATATGTGCAATTTGCATGTGTAAACGAGCTTCATCAAGAATTGCGATATCTTACGCGAAAATTCGCATAAACACATAATCTGTCTGATCAATGCTAATAGAATGGAGAAATCTCTCAATATGCAGTAAGCGATTCAAGGGGGAACTTCTTAATTAAACTTATCCCCTTTGTACACCGTTTCGTTTAACAAAGAAGAGTATTATATTTGCTCTTCAATAAGTATTCATTGCTATTCGGGAGCTTATGCATTTTTAATCTCGACTTAAATGGGAATGTCGAAGAAATTATTTATAAGCAATAAGTAATGAGATAACGGAAAAAGAATCTAGAAAGAATAATGAGACAGGGGAGTCTTTCTTTCCGAAGCGAATTCGATTTAATCACCGAAGACAGGAAAAAGCGTATACATATATATCACGTAAAATACTAAGCGAATAATCGATTAAATATTGTGATGTACTATCTATTAAATTATTGCGAGATATATTTTTCTCAGTTAATATAATTAAAAATGTCGAAATAGACTAAAAGAACTTCGAGATTCCAGTCTGACAGCGTCTGCCATTTCTCGAGGGTGTTCAGTAAAACATGCCGAAGGTCACCCGAAACCGCGGGTGTGTGAGAGTTCGAGGACACGAAATCAGCCTCAGAGGGGATCGAACGAGGGACGGTCAGCATCGCGTCGCGTTTCCGGAAGAAACGTCCCTTTCGCACAACGAGGCCGTATCCTCGTAATTGACGTGCAAAACACCATATCGCGGCAGCGGCGTGATCGATACGACGGCGTCCGAGTGAGTTCGCCGGAGGAAAGTCCGGAAGGGGCGTGAGGCGGGGAACGGCGGGCACGGTGTGTGTATATGTGGATTTTTACGATCGATCGTCTCCACGCTCGGAGGATACGATGTCGTACGGAAGGGCTTACCTCTTCTCGGCGAATGGAAAGAGAGCACGGAGAGCAGGGGGTGCCAAGGGGAGACCCGGGGACCGTTTCGGTCGCGGCCGAGATCCTTCACTCTTTGAAAAGAAGAGGAAAAGCGACGCGCGAACAGCGGACTCTCGCGAAAGAGGGCGACTCGGCGACGGCACTCCGCGATGATGTTTCGTTCTCGACGTTCTCGACGTTCTCCAGTATCTACGTCACTACGTCAGCCATCCGCTGGACGATTCGCGACCCGCGAGAATCTCGGCAGCCACGTAAACGGACATTATTAGCGCGTGTACATCTGCGCGCACGCATACGAGTTACGAGAGCCACTCTGCACTGCCTGCTGTCTGCCTGCCAAGCGGACGGTTCGGCTTCGCCACCCGTTGCAACACCACCCCCGAGTCGTGGCGAGCGCTGACGATGTACACCGCGGGCGCCTGCGTGCTGCTTTCGTCCGCCGCCGTTATTGTCGTCGTCGGGGACACGAAGTCGCGCGGCGAGTAGGGATGCTTAAGTTTAGTAGGGTACTGCTACTTTTCTATCCCCTCGATATCGAACCGACGCGAGTATCGATATATCTTCCAAGGGAAGCGCCTCTTCCTCGCGACGATCGACAGCAGCTTGAAATTTCTAATTAATTAATCGGTAGAAATAATTGATACGCATCTGCGTCGTTCCAAGCGCGGCGACATTTTTTTTTTTCCGATATTGACGTCTTGATTATGAAATAAATTACTAGGAATTGCAACGTTTTATATTATTCTTCGTATTTTGAGTTAATATGAATAAATATTCTGCACCTCTCTTATTTCTTTGTACCGTACGTGATTATGTAATTTCGAAATTGTAAAGTATTTAGCAAATAGCATAATTTAATTTTTAACCCCTTAAAAACGCTATCAATTCGCATTTCCCCCAATTAATCCCCCCCAATTAATTGGAGACCTTCAAGAACTTCTGAAAATAATGCGGCGAACAAAGGGTAAGTAGTGCGCGGATTACGTCGTCATCTCTTTATACATTTTCATCGGATTTGCGTAATCCAACGGAACATTTTCATTCTCTATAATATCCTTTTTTCCACCTGTGTTTAATATTCGCGAACAAAAATATCTTATATATTCCATTACATTAAAACGTCTCTACAGTCGCACCCCATGCCTCAGGTTACCGTGCTACATTTTAACCACGGAGAGAGGTAGAGGGGTAAGTGCTACGGCACGCGCGCGAGCGCCTCGTAGGCGGCTTCTGTAAGGGTTGTAATATTTGTTCTGCCACGCGCGAACTCACGATTTCCTCGCTGAATAGCTCGAGGCACGAAACAAGAACTACGTAGGCGGGCAAATACCTTCCACAAAGTAAGCCGATTCCGGCGAAAAACCGGTAAAAGCTAATTACAGCGTGGGTCTAAAAGAAATTTAAAGTTTGTCAATCTTGACGTATGATTGGTATTCATTGCTTCACCGGGAACGTTTCCCATTTTCAGCCTTTATTTATTTACGGCGAAATGGTCTATTCTTTCGTAGAAGCGGGTGTGCTTATGTACACGGGGCGTGAGGGGTGGGCTTAATGCCCCACAGGTGCACGTTTATCTAGTTTACGCCAATGAATAGGAGATATCTCAGAGAGATTATCGCGCTCGTCGTGTAAGCTACCTGTACATAATAATGAAGAGCCATTTAAACTCTCAGCTTATTTTATAGTTAGGACGATACGCTGCGCGAGTAAATTTTGATAACGGCATTACGGAGGACTGACGCAAACAAGTTTAACGAATTTTTAGACACGATAGAAGAAAAGAGCCCCCTATGAATGCATTTACGCCGTTAACTCTTTAATGGCAAAAAGAGCAGCAGACCACGTATTCTGAACTGTACTAAAATAATGATTGCATGAATGACAGATTGCAACACTAATAAATTAACAAAGTACAATTTAGTAGATATATGTATCTATTAAAAACTCTATCGGTTAAACAATCGAGCGGACGTCATGCAAAATGGAAAAGAAACGACGAAGATATATTTTTGTTAACAACAATGACACATTTAGCACTCAAAATGCGCGATTTCACACAAATCAATCAAGTAGTGATAATTCAGACTGTCTTTATTAATATCTGAAAACAAAATCACAATATGATGTCGTTTATATGAAATAAAATCGATATATAATATATTTTTATTTGGTATAATTGAGAAATCTTTAACGCATGAACATTCATTTAAATTTTCCTGTGACCCGACAGACGTCATATATGAGCTAAAAAGAGCAACAAAAGACGAAATAGTCTAATTTTTAAATAACTTCTGAAGTAATTAAATAAATCTATTTAGAATAAAAAAGAAGATTATGAAGATTGATTTTACTATTTTTAAAAGCACTGTCAACAAGAAATTTTCATTATAATTCCAGCTGTGTGCTTAAGGTTCCTTAATTAATATTGATGAACCAATTTCGACAGAGAGCGGAATTGACAAGTTACGTCAGTATGTGCTTCGAAGCATTC